GGACAATCACAGAGTTAAAGAAAAGTAATAATGAGAAGAAAGACAAACCAAATTAAAATGTTATATTAGGCCAGTGACACTCAGTCCTAATGGCTTAGGTGTCAGAGGAGAGGACTATTAATCAAAATGATATACAGTACCATATATACACTCCAAATGAAGTACCGCAAACATGGAACCAACAAACTGACCAATCCCACAAAAAAGCAACCACCAAAAATCCTTACAGCACCTTAAAAACACGGATATAAATAGTGGAGTTGCTACACAATTAGGTCGTATGTAGACAAAATAGGGGCCCTAAATTGAAGCAGTGAATTTTTAAAAACACCACTTCAATTTAGGGCCCTTTAAACCCCCATGTCACACACACACTCGAACTTACCTGCCTCTCTGGTGGCGGGGAGGGGAAGGGAGGGTGAGCTGCCAGCGGGCAGAGCAGTCCCTCAGCTGCAGGGGTGGAGCTGGTGCTTTCCTCCATGGCAGCAACAATCCTCCCCACCCCTCCACCAGTGGCACCCACCCACAAGCACCCAGCTCAGGCAGTCCTGGGGGGGGCACTGCAGCCGCAGAGGGAAGTACCGGGCCCCAGTGCAGTTCAGGCAGGCAGGCAGGCTCCAGGGGAAAAAAAGAAGATCAGTCTTGTTGCTTTTTTTGCGTGAAGCCTGCATTCTCAGGCTGCTGCCAGGTTGCCTGCAGAGCTTCCTGCAGAGCCCCTGAGCTGTACAAAGCCTGGTACTTCACTCTGCAGTTGTAGCACAGCAAACTAAAACTCCTCAGAGCAGTTTTAGTTTGCTGTACCCTAAGTCATTTAAGGTGGATTATGCCACAAAATTTGCTACAGCGCCTGGAATTACTGCGCAATACACCACCAATTTGTGCAAACAGCACCATTAAAGCAGTGCAAAAGCACTTAACCCACTTTAAAGTGTCATGCACACATGCCCCTCATTTCATCAACACACAGCCTTAATGTTTGCAGGAAAGACATACCAATGAATGTAGGGGGGAAAAAAAAGAAAAAGAAAACCTTTGGTAACATTTTTTCAAAAGTATATAGGGGATAAATTGAAGAGCCACTTGTGGCTCAAGATATGCAGCTTGAGGATCACTCAACCAAGCAATAATACTTTAGATAATTATAGGCTCCTGATTCTGCAAACACTGATGCATATTAGAAAATTCTCTGTCAAAGAACCACAATGATTCCATTGACACCACTTCAGAAGAAAAATATCAAATAGTCTTCTCAACAGTGTGAAAGAACCAAAGAGAGTGAAGGAAGCCATGCAAGGCATGGAATCTTGGTTTATAGAATCAGTTGCAGAAAGAAACCTCCAAAAAGAAACTTTTTTATTTCAAAGTTAAAATATTTTTTAATTAAAATATTACTGAGTATTATGAAAGAATCCTGTTTAAACGACAACTTCTCCATAGATACGGATACAAAAAATAGAGTGGACATATTGCTCAGATTAAAAAAATAAATAAACCCTTTAACATGGAAAATGTTATCTCACTTTTGCTTATAATTAAATATATATCTGTTTAATAATTTAAGATACAGATATGTATACTATCTATTTAGCCACCTATATGCCTTAATTTAATATGAATATCATACAAATAATCTATTCTCCTCTTTCACTATGTGTAACCCAATTACAGTAAATGTACTGTTGATAATTTGTTAAAAATTTCCTTGTGCTTCCTCCCTAAAACAGTCTATTTTCTCTTTCTATTTGGTCTTACAGTGAAATCATAATGGGTAATTTTCTGGCATTGCAACCTATGGAATGATGGCTGAGAGTTCATAAACACAGTGTTGTTAATAAAATGCAAGAATCTGTGAGGGACTAAGCCCCTATGGAAATATATTTATTCATTAATTATAGTGAGAACCAGGAAAACCACAAGTGTTTGTATTATTTCCTTTTTTTTTTCCTGATATGAAAGTCTCTCGGTAATCTTAATTTTCACCTAAAACTCTAATCCTTCTGTGTGTAAACTGTGATTTCTAATGCAATCTATAGTTGTTCTGCTATGAAAGCAAATGTTAATATTTTAATTATTTGTTAACCATTGATAAATGTACAAAATCCAGCATACATAGTTTCTACAGCTGAAAAATCTTGTACTCCAAAGGATATAATGGAAAAGTAGAGACTGTTGCATTCATGAGATTAAATCCGAGTATCTTGCTTTCTTCTTTAAATCCTTCCATGTTGTGGCAGGGCACTGATAGTGAGCAGGTTGTGGTAGGGAAGGCCAAGTGAGCTTCTAGAAGCACCTGAGCCTGGCAGGGTGAGTGATCCCACAGGGACAGGCACTCTTTGTGAAGCACCTGAGCTGGGAATGGGGACCTGAATCCCTGAAAGGCATGCATGAAGCTTAGACCTGACCCGAGGGACCCGACTGGTTCATGCTGAGGCCAGGACCCAGAGAGGGATCAAAAGGGCCAGGGGTCCACCATGAAGGACACCCTCAGAGCAAAGAAGCTCAGGGTCCCAACTGTCTGAGATGGGGCCAGGGCCTAAGGGGGAGCCAAAGGTCCCAGAGAGGGGGCCACAGCTAATGGGCAAAGGGAACAGCTCAATTTAGCTTCCTGGGATGTCATTTGCAAGGCTTGGGCCACAGTGTAGGGGTGGAACAGAGCTGCAGATCTCCCCCTAAACATGGGGGTTCAAAATGGGCAGCCTCCCACCTGAGTAATATCCTATTACTATTACATTAAGGCATGGCAGGAGAATGGGGTGGGTAGCTGACCCGTAGACAGGAGGCAGGCCGGTACTAGCACCAGGAGTGAAAGCCTGCCCCATCACACATGTAATAGAACTTAGACTAATGAAAATATTACTTCTGAGTATCATTATCAGCAAAACTATCAAATGTACTCATTAAGCCTTTATAGTTTAAGATATGATAGAGATTAGGACCATAATTATCCTGCATTTCAGAAATCCAAGAACGTTTTGTCATTTTGAATTCTTTCTGCTATAAATAGGCAGAGTGTAAGACTTATCATTTACATCAACTATTAAAAATAAATTCTTTACTGTCCTTGGTTCTTTTTTTTTATGTATTATAAATCTTGATTTAGGCCTATTGTATAATGACCATAAATTGTTGTTGAGGACATGGTTCAAATGGTTTCATTTGAAAGGTGCTTGAAAATAAGTTTATTTTTCTTTAAATGTGTATTAATTAAGATGGTTGCTAATTGCTTGAATGCAATAAATTAAAAAAATCAGTTTGAAAGACAGTCCACTACAGTCCTGTAATTTGATGCATGCAAATAAATTAGGAATAAAAATCAACTACAATTTAATTTCAAACCTTTCCCAACTAGCAGCTGTACAATTTATGCACTACTTTTCTATTTTTACTGCAGGATAATGACAATGATGAATGCTTTTACTAGGAAATAAATATTCATTAAAGAGTCTCAGATCAAAACTATACCCCTTTCAAAACACCCATGAATGTGCAAAATCCATTTGCCTGTTGGAAGAGATTTATTTAGGGGGAAGATGGAACTATGCCCACAAGCACATCTCATGACAATTTAATAGTTCAGTTAAATTAAACCTATGGCAATACTTACTTGTAACTACAGTAATCAATATCATTACAGTTGGTGTCGCCTATAATAATATCAAGTGTATGTGGGTGAACAAGTCATTAGTTATGGATGTAAATCAGACTAAGACAGCACAAATGTAAGGCATTAAGGAGCACTACTACCAGGGAGTCACTCAAATGCCAGTAAACTGTTTGCTGGGTCACTGCTCATCTGACCAATCTAGTCACGAACACAGGAAGTATATAAACGAGGACCAAGTGGTAGCTCATTAGAAGTGATTTACATGTTTTATGACTTTTTTGCTCATGCAAGCCAATCTATCAAAAGCAATTACTGAAAAGGAAGAATGGTAATAACATTGGCATGTTGTCTCCTTTATAAATTAACTGGAGGCATTCAATACCCAGTACTTAAAGACACTTGAATCTATTGGAACTAAACTACAAGTGGTATAAGAATGGCCTACTGCTGGTTCAAGACTACTGGAATGTACCTCTACTGAATAGGAAATAATGATCTGCATGCTACTCCTTCCTGCACTTCTTTATTCATATTCCATTACACGGTTTACTGGAGATACTATCATTGCTAATAAGCTCATGATACCTTAATTTCCTAGAGTTAACAAATACATAATTATCTATTTTTCCACATAGAAGGTACACATAACTAATCATTTATGGGCTAAAGGAATGATACAGGTAATGATCAGTGCAAGCATGAAAGTTCAGTCTTTCCTGCACTTTTCTGCTTATTGGGTTACAATCTGAAAGTGCTATAGCCATAGATATTATGTTTACAATGATAAAATGCTTTTTTTCTTACACAAACATGATTTTGCAAACAGCTGACAGTCTGTGTATCCAGTTATATTTGCAGTACTGGTCATGATTCTCCTCCTTGACCAATTCTACACTAGAATAACTCCACCTCAAAGGATTCATGCTGGTTAAGTGCTGAAGATTCAGGCCAATCAACTTTCTAGGTTTCATAATTAATCCTTGAAAGTATTTTTATTACCCAGAATTTAGTATTTGGTTGGCAATATTATCCATCTAATGACTGTAATTATGTACCCAATGAATGTTGTTGTAGTCATGTGTATTATATGTATACATATATAAGCAAAGAGAGAGGCTCGGTGTACCTGGATTGGGTGTGGATAACTGAGCACCATGAACAACCTGTCAGTTATTTAGACTACAAAAATCAAAAGGTAACATAATTTATCTACCAAGGAACAGCATATAATTTAACAGTAGCACCATGACCCACTCTTTACACTTTATCTTGGCACCTGTCTGCAAAATTCAGGTGCAAACACAGGACTGCTACTCTGTCCCCATATTATATAGTGGCTCAAAATTAAAAGAAATAATAGACAACATTTATTACTATTGATAGACTTGCATCTTACCTTGAGACACTCTTCTTGTTTATAGAGATCCTCATAGTTCTTAACCTGCAGAGCAGGTGAGTTAAGGTGGTCTTCCACTTCAGACAAGGCTTTCAGAAGTCGAAGGATCTCTGCCAGGTATGCAGAAGGCATGTAAGTTGTTTCCATAGTCATACCTTCAGTCATCACAACAGTTGTCTCTTCATAAACAGTTTGCTGGTATAGATATACAACAGAATGCTTCCTTTAGTTTCTTAACATTGAAACAAAGTTATCATTTAATGCAATTTCCAGTTCACAACCTAGAAGCAATTAAAAAAAATCCGCCTGCACAACATCTAAAAAAAAGAATGGGTTAAAAAGAAAAAAAGATTCCAAACATATATTAGTGTCATTGAAGTAACATCCTTCTGTAACAAAAGCATAATATTATTTCAGTTTGTGGGCAAAGATCAATGCATTCCACCTTTTCTTTTTGAACTCACAATTGCTAAAGTTGGCCCATACAAAAGTTGGCTCCTTACACAAGACCTTTACTCTCTTGTGCTCTAATAAATGAAAACAGGTAATTAAATGCTGCTTAATGATTCACATACTATTAGCACAACAGTTTGCATTTTCATTTCTCTGTATTTTTAATTGTATGTTCATCATGTAGGAGTTCTATACGTGCATGCTTCAAGCTTTCCAGTAAAATTATTATGAAAAAATATATTTTTGCTTATTAAAATATTTTAAAGTATATTTTTATAAAGCAAAGAGCTGTAAAATCAGCTAAGTACATGAAATATTGTACTAAAAGCATCATTCTAAAATGGGAAACAAGCAGCTATTTGAAGTTTCTTTTCATATGCCTAAAAGAAATCTCAGCAATACTTCTCTTCTGGTCACACAAGTGTTATGTTTAACTGAATGGATATTACCTAAAACTCTGTTTGTTTAAAAAAAATGTTCCTAAGTCAACTGTAGTGAAGAGGCTGAAAAAAAATTGTTTTCTTAAAAATATCAAGATCGTGTATAGTTTGTGGAAAAACACAGGTATCTAAGCTCACAATAATGAAAGCCACACATGATGTGTGATCAGATATGTACGATGACCATCCAACAGACTAAGAAGAGTATGGTGAGACGGACCAAGGGCTTAAGACAAAGCTGTGTATGCCTACCGAGGCACTTCTATTAAGTTAGTTTAAAATTCTGATCTCCTGACCACCAAAAACATCTGGCCACCTTACCTAGAAAGATTCAAGGTAAGAAGCATTCACTAGCTTGATGTCCTGATAAGCTTAGTTTAATATTTCTTTGTGTTTATTGCAGTGCCTTGGTGTTCTTGTCAGGAAACCAGCATCCCATTGTGATAGGCATCAGCATATCTTCTCAAAATAGAACTCTTACTGAAAACAGCCTAAATTCTAATAAAAAATGCATCAGCATAAGACACAAGACACCCGTAGCAACCTTGCATAGCCTTTCCAAATAGTTGTTAAGAAACATTCTTTGAAAATCATTTTTTTTTTTATTAGCTCTGCTGAAAAATAGGATAGATTAGTCTATGTGGAAAATCTTCCTAACCTAGCTGTAGTGCTTAGAAAACTCAAGCTAGTTCATTCAGAGCTGCTTCAACAGTGTGACATGTAGACAACCTAAATGCCTTGCTCTTTGCATTGACTGAAAGGGTGTTGGATCTAGTGTTTACTATATGTAGAAGGCACTGGATTAATGGTCTTGAAGACACCAAATTTTGTTATTTATCTGCAGAATGCATATACACAGTAGTATGTACTAGTGTAAGTGATCATACTGCCTTGCTTAACTGACTCTTCCTTTTAATGGAAGGGCTAGGTGCAGTCTTCACTCTTTGCTAAATCTAACTATCGAGGTACCAGATGTGTTTTTTCTTTTAGTGATTCGGAATATAGACAGAGACCACATCATCATTTTAGAAAAATTACCGAACAACCATCAAATAATAAGAACCTCTGGTTATGGGATTTGAACAGGAATAGAAAGCCCCAGATTCCATACCAATACGCAGAGACACTTCACTCTATTACTTTTTTCTACACTGTGGCAGCACAAATTCTAAGAGTCACAGGTATAAAAAGTGCACACCACACGTGGAGATAATATCCATGAGTTTATTTGTGGAAACATGCTATACTGCATAGCCAACAGTTTCACATTTTATGTACTCATTAATCCAACTTCTCAAGTGTTACATTTATCTTTAAAACCACCGTATAACCTTTTCAAAGCATTATGACTCTATTAACATTACTCAACATCAAATGTAATATCAAATGTTCTTCCTAAAAGTTGATTTCTAGCTCTTGAAAGCCTTAAGACTTTTAAGACAATGAGACTTTTATGGATTGCAAAAGTAAATTTATACTAATTTAAGGGATTTTTAAAAATGGGGGTAGCCAACTGGTATAACACCATGAGCCGAAGCTCTAGCAGCAGCTTTAGTGGGAACAACCTGACAGTGAATTTTGGTGTTAATATCATTATTTACTAGTAAATAATAAGGTTGTTTGAAAAAAAGATACCTTCAAGCAGAAATTTCCCAAGCTCTGTCATCACATTTGACAGCATTGTTTTAAATCTACTCTAAGTATAACAAATATAATGTATTTGCTTCAAGTGACATTTTAAAGGAAAACGATATGCAAATACATTAAATTTGCATACAACACTGGAGAAATTGCAAACTGAATTGTGATTCCCTCTTCGTGAGTTTGCAAGAGGTGCTAGGACCACACTGAATTTTTTTTTTTTGCCCCAAGAAGAATTTGGCTTCTGGGAGCAAAGGGTAGACATAAGCAAGAGGCCTAACAAGAAACAGTTGAAATGATCATTCAACAATGCTTTGCATGTGAGAATGACTGTGCTGGATGTAGTGATGGATAGCCACTAGATAGACTATATGAGGAATCAGTAACTTTTTTCTAAGGGTCAGTGCAACCCAGACATGGCAAAAGACAACTGAGCCCTGGATGCTGTTCTAGGAGATCATGCTCCTCCACGTAAAGGGCTGCTCTCTTGTCTCCTGCTGAGGCCTCTGCTTACCATTACCACCAGAGAGTGTGGCAGACATGGACAAGTGTTTTAAAAACTGGCTATTGATGAAAAGGAACCCAAACCCATAATACTATTAAAAAAATAATATTACCCCAGAGTGAGGTGTACATAATTGGCTAGAGCCAAAATGCTTTATGAGCACCAAGACACATCAGAAATTAACAATAATTTAAATTTACCAGAACCTGGATATAAAATGTTAGCTAATTTCTTAAAACACTGTGTGTAAATATAAACTTTTTACCAAGCCGTCAACCTGGCACAATATAGCAGACAGTAACTTTTTAAAAATACTAAGCTTCAAATATCCACTGGCTGTTAAATCAATAAATATGGAAAACTGGTGGCATAGATTCTTCATATTTCCTTGTTTATGCAAAACACACACACTCTTATTAAAAGTAAACGCTTTTCATTTGTATTTAATTTACTCTGTCTTCTATAATTACATCCCTCTTTATGTTGATATGTACAAATCCTTTCTAATCTTTTGAAAAATCAATCAACCAACATTCCCCTAGTCAATGATTAATATTTCACTCACTCCTCCTCATTTCATACATTTATTGAAAATTTGTATTCATAAGAATAAGATAATGCTATACCCATACTAATTTGTGTTTTATATCTATTTGATTCGTTACATATATTTTAAATGAAGAAAAGGAATCTTTCCACAGGTACATTTCTATCAATAACAAATGAGTACCATACCTATTTGTCTGTTGATTCCTATCAATTACTATACAAAGGCATCCATAAAATGCTAGTGAGCATAGCAAACCAAAACACTTTTTAGAATGATTCAATTTTGGCCATTAGAAATAAAAATATATCAATATTAGCAGAAATTGGTGTATGAGATAATTATTTTCTACATGCAGTATATATAGCTCTAATGGTATTATCTCAATTATAAGTATTTGCTAGATTGCCTTGGGAATGAAGAGCACTGCAAATTCTCCTGTACTGTCTTAACAGAAAAAAAGTAACAAATGGGTTGAACTATAAATGATTGCCGCACAAACTGGTCTGGTTTAAAAAAGCTGAATAATTCTTTGTGACATATCTATTTTCACACTTCCTGAAGATTTGGTTTTGGACAAAAATCAAAACCCAACAACATTGCTATGGGAATTGCTCATTTCCAACAAGTCTCCATTCTCTTGTCATACAATAGCTCTTTTCTTATTTGTAGTGTATCCTCACCACAGGATCCAGAACTAATAGCAGCCCATTCTCTTTTATTTCTTCAGTGGGGTGCACAGTGCACCCTGGGAACTACAGTGACAACACAAAACAACAAAATTGTCAGCAGGGAGAGACCCTGACACAGCACCAAGTGCCACCTAAGCTAGTACCTAAGGAAAAAGTTGGGATGGCAAAAGCTAGTCCTAGCTTCCTTTCATAAATGATCTGATCCTGGACAAAATAATGACAAAGTAATCCTTTAACGGCATCTAAGGGTTGAGGATTGGAAAAACAAAAGAGGTAACTCTGTCGGATAAAGGTAACTAGTGCTTAGATGGTCAGAAAAAGAGTTAGGAAACTTTTAGAAAGGCACAAGTGAGATGCTTGAAAGCTCCAGATAACCTTGTTGGTGTTTCTCAGAAGCCATTCCCAAACTACTCAACAGTCACTAACCAGTGCATAACATCAAGATAACCTGTAGGACCTAAAAGAAAAAATGGAAATATAATGTGGTATTGACATGGCATCAGAGAGATATTTTTCTTAGAGAATGTATGATAGTTATTTACAGTCAGCAAATCTTCTTTTGTTATGTACCTCTTGCTATGATAGCCATGAGTAATATCAGCCCACCTTCGGTTAAGCCAACCCAACGCCCTCATCACTGCTACTATGTATTCCCTGTAAATTAATCCAAATAATGTATTTTGTGTAAATACTTAAGATATATATATCAAAATAATGCTGAGGATGTGGAATGTGTCATCATGAGATAGCATGACTTCAGTCAGCAACAAGTGTGTGGGTGAAGATTTGATGGTAAAAGCTACCTCTGTCAAGTGCAGATAGATTTTAAAACCCTACTACAAAATTAAACATTTACACGATGCCTCAAGTTTTGAGGATATTTGTAAATCCTTCTGCATTCAGATTTTAGTGCTGAA